AAAGGTGAATTTAAACCCCGAAATTTGAGTGGTAGTACGACGACGAAAAAGGATGGCTGCAGTAGTTTGAAGGTCCGACGATAAGTGGATAGGTGTTTGATGATGGTGGTAGTTGTCGACGACAAGAAGGAATTATGAATTTTTTGAGTTTTACCCCTTAAATTTATGAATTATATTTAAAAAATAAAGGAAATCAAAAATTACTTCGTGTGTTAAACATTTATTGTTTTACTGATTTTTAACGAAATTTTTTAACGGTTGTCACAGAATATGCACTTCAAAATGGTAACGTTAATAACATTAGACGTATGCATTAACTAAAAATTTAGACGCTTAAATCGAAAAAAGAAATATAATTTGGATACCTTTTTATGTTAATCCTTTTATATATGATCTAATAATTTAAAGTAAGAATCTTATATCGTGAAATCTTAATAAATCATGTAATTATTGATAAACTTTAAAATTCCTTTGCGACATTTTTAATTAATTATAATTTCTATATTAATAAAATTAGAATTAAGTTAAAGCGATTTAAATATACATAAAAATTATAGTATGTACGAAAATAAATGAAACAAATAAACCTCGTGTTGTGCCGTTCTATAAGTTTGATGGTAGTATTATATTCCTTATGTCTCATTAAAATTATCTTTTATTGATTTTTTTGTTTTTCTTTTGTTAATTTTGACTTATTATTATTTACATTTTTTATTAATAAAAATATAAAAAAATTTGTTTTAAAAACATTAAATCAAGATTTTTTAAATATATATTTTATCAAATTTATTTATTTAAAATATTTAAAATAATCGTAGTCAAAATTTTAAAAATGACTTTTAAAAAGTCAATAAGAGATACATTTGGTTGAACAAATGGAGTAATATAGACAATTTTTATATAACATGAATAACCTAAATTACCAACTAATACTAGTTTAAGTGGTAAGCAGTTTGATAGTGTTTAAGTAGATTTTGAATTCGAATCCTTGTGTATGCAGAAAATTCGTGAGAGACTCACCCACCATAGTCATGTGTGAGAAGATTCGGATTAATTAAGGTGAAACCTTAAGAACCGAAAGATCAACTAAAAATTAATATTAACCTAAATTAGAAAAATAAATGTTGCATTTAGCTCTTAAAAATGAAAATCCAAAAGAAATGGAACAATACTCCCTCGATATTTGGTAATATTATTGCCATTGTTTTTGTTGAGGGCAAGTCTCATTAATAATAATAATAATAATAATAATATTATTATTATTATTGTGAAAAAAGTTGATGGGATTGATTGGCATATAATTCAGGTTGACAAATCAGGAATCATCGTCACGCCTATTTATTATTTTTTAAGTGAAAGCGCATTGACATTATTAATTAGCATTTTTATTTAATAAGACACATGTCCACTAGCCCAATCGGCGCATTAGTTTATCTAAAATCACAAGCCAAGATTTGCTCCAACATTTACTCTCAACCATCAAACTGACTTCAGAGTTTATGAGAAGTTTTGTTAATTTTAAAAGTTTTAAATTTGATTAGTTGTATTTGTAAAATATTTAAAAAAATCTAAATATAAGGAAATATATATTTTTAATTTATTAAATGATTTTAATAATTAAGAGAAATATTTTTTTTAAATATTAAATTTAATTAATTATATATGTAGGATATATAACAATATTTAAAAGAATTATGAACATAAGAAGCATAGTCTTTTTGGCATTGGTTCCCTGATTCTCAGCACAAGGGAATTGGTGCAATGCTATTTGTGTCTATATCCCAAAAATTAGGTAGTGCTGTCGTACGACATTTAATATACAACTAAAGAAAAATATTATCAAAAATATTATTATTTTTTTAATATTTTTGGTAAATCGTTACTTAAAATATTATTTTTTTCTTAAAATGTTAATTTAGCTATTTAAAAATAGGTAAAAAAATAACATTTTAGTTAGCGCACAATATTAACATTTTCGGTAGAAAAATAATGTTTTAGATAGCGTTCAGTATTAATATTTCTAGTAGAAAATTAATGGTTTAAGTAACGCTTTATCAAAAATGTTAAAAATATTCAAATAACGTCTTTCATTAACCTTATATTAAGATTGCACAGAGATATACCAAAATTACCTCCATCAAAACAATAATAAAAAGGTCAGACCCTATTTTCCATGCCTATGACAAGAAAAGCTAAGTTATAGATTACTTTTAGGGTAAACTATACAGGATATCATTAAATTATAGTTAAAAATTAATTTGACAACCCAAGTTTCAATTAAATCAATCAGATCATCCAATTATTTAAATATTTTAATCAAGCCATCGACTATTAATTTTTAACAAAGGTGTGACGCGTCCATTAATAAAATTGGCATAATTCTATATTTAGTCCCTACAAACCTAAGTTAACAAGATTTTCTCTTTTTCCAAACACAATCAATTTTACATGATTCAGGAAGCCAGCTTTATTTTTTCCCACCTAACACTAAATTTTCTCAGAACCAAACAAAAAATTCTGACTCTTTCCCCCCCCCCCCCAACAAACATCACATGTCTCCAAAAAAACAGACCCACAATTTACCCTTTTCTTTCCATTCAATTTTGCAACAACCGAACAGAGAATCAACAAGGAAAAAGAAAATTACCTGATACAACTTGCTTCCTCCATTAATCGATTGAAGAAGCTCTTTAGTAGAATCTCTTCAATTTTCATCATCGAATCCTCATTTCCGTATCTCAATTCTTCAAACAAAGGGCTCAACAACTTGATTCTACCAACCAAATTCCCATCCATTTTTTTACACGAGTTTCTACACTCTGGTAAACCAGATATCTCCTTCACTAACTCAACTACTTGACTAAGCAATTGCCCCTTGGAATCACCTGTGAGTCCTATGATCATTCAAACACAACAACAACAACAAAAAGAATTCAAAAAAATTATAAAATTAAAGGAAAGGTTTTGATCCTTTGTGAGAAATAACCCAGATTAGGGAATTCAGTTAAACGAAATGGGTAATTTTGGGTTTTTAGAAATGGAAGCTGGGAAATTTAAGCTGGTTGTTCTTGTTTAGAACAAAGGGAAATTTTGATTTTGAGAGGTTTGATAATGAGAGAGAAACTAGTGACTAAATTGATAGACTATGTAAATATTAAGGATCAAATATAAAATTATACTAACTTTATTAACTGATACGTCACCACCTCCGTTAAATATTAATGACCGGTGACTTGATTGAAACATTTAAATAGTTGAATAATTTGATTGATTTAATTAAAATTTTAGTGGTCAAATTAATTATTAACCATAGTTTAGTTGTCTCCGTGTAGTTTACCCTTACTTTTATGTCATAAAAAGCGAGACCCCAAGAATACTTTTCAAATGAAAATAGACTTAATATAAAAAAAAAGTGTCCAAACTTTATGGTTTTTCCTAAAGTGGTACATAAACTTTTTTTTTCAGTCAATCCAAGTGTGTAACGTTACAAACATCACTACTTTAGGTTTTTGGTCTGTAATGGCTGTTAAAACATTATGTTATTTGACATGTGTCACATTTTGATAATTTAAAATATTATTTAAAATAAAAATTATATTTTAAAAAACTCAAAAATTTTGAAAAACTAAAACAACCCCAAAACTTTGAAAAATATAATTTGAATCCCTATGTCCACGTCGTTCGTCGTCATTGCCATCGATTGAGCCTCCAATCAATTACACCTTAACTAAAGACCAGTTACCCAACGACCAGCCACCAGAACAACAACGGAAGCCTTTAATCGCGACACCTTAAATCATAAAACCCTAAACTCGATGAATACTAAACTACGATGCCATGTGACCTCGACAACCATCTCAATGGAAAGGGAGACAATGTTAAGGACATCGGTGGTGGTGGCCGTGGTCGGCAAGGGAGGTAAGGTTTGGGTTAGGGATTTGGAAGTTTTCTTGTAATTTTTAGAAAAATTAGGTTTCTTTTAAATATAATATTTTTTTAATTTTTTAAAATTATCAGAACGTGACACATGTCACTTAACGAGTCTTTTTAATGGTTGTTACGAACGAGTCACCTAAAGTGGTATCGTTTGTAACGTTAGGCACATGGATTGACCAAAAAAGTTTAGGTACTACTTTGGAAAAAATGGTATAGTTTGGACACTTATTTTTTTTTAGTTTTTCGATAGTGAATCTCTTCATAATATGGTTAAACAAAACTTGACTCGACTCGAAAAATTAGTCTTTTCGATTCAATTCAAAAAATTGATTTTTTTCACTTGAAAAAACTCAATTCGAATTTACTTTAAGTTGTAATTTCATAAACTTGAATCGAAAAAATTTCAAATTCGAATCTAGTTATAAAATATAACTCGAATAACTCAAAATTTTTAGTAATTAGTGAATTAGTTTTCAAGTTTGAGTTGAGTCCCTCGACTTTGTATGATATATGTATATCACGTATAAAAAAATGTGAAGACAATCATCATCATCATCATCCACTGTCATCCCTTATCATCGATCTGTATTTTTTGACTAATAGATCGGAAACCAACTATTAAAAGTTAAAAAATGGTCAAAGAACTCAACAAATCAATATAATATAGTCCAATGAACATTTGTATACTTTACCCATAACTTTTTTGTCTGCAAATTTCCTTCATTACTACTAAAAGATAACAAGAGATTAGAAGAAATGAAGAATAAGTAGAGACTTCTTAAATCTTATTATATATATATATTAGCCTTGGTTCACATAAAATAACTTATCCCACCATTAGCATTACAAAGTTAAGGGGTAAATTACAAATTTTATCATTAAACTTTACTTTCTCTATTATTTTATTCATTGAACCTTACAAGTTTTCAAAATTTTCACAATTTAATATATTAGGTTTTTTTACTCCACCGTTAAATAGTTAACGACAAAACGACGCTATTGTAAAAAAATAATTTTTTTATCAAAATGATATTGTTTTGCATCTATATAACAACTCATTTATAACGCCATTTGTGTGAAAACGGCTGAACGACCTAAACATCTCAATGTATTAAGTTCAGTGAGAAAATTGAAAAGATTTAAAGTACACTGAATGAAATAGTAATAAGTAAAGTTCAGTAACCAAACTCATGATTTACCCCAAAGTTAAGCATGCAACTTCCCTTGCAAGAACTTTTTTACTAGAGCTATCAATATCTATACGGCGGCAACAGTCTCAGCTTTTGAGGAGGTGGCGGTGGCAGTTTGTTTCTTGGATGCTATCCAACATTTCTCATTCTTTTCGTCTTGCTTTATCTGCTGTTGCCTGCACTCCAGGCTGCAAAATGCGCTATCGCCCCTGCAACATCACATAATTATAAGTTTAGTGTTGCTGTAATAATTCTTGAAATATATATCATACAAAATGAAATATATATACCTATACATGTAGATATCGCGGCCAGGAACAAGGCGGCGTCTACAAAGACGGCAGGATCTAAGGAAATGAGGGGTTTCCATAAAATCAGCCGAATGCCTTCTATGAACTCTAGGTAACACCGTCGCCAACGGCGGTTGATCCAACACTTCAAGACCACCACCACCTCCATCACCTGCAAGAGATACATAGGCTGCTACTGCCGCACCACCGCCATTAGCATGTACCGGCGGAGCTTCGGCGTTACTGGTTCTGTTCAGATCAAAAGTGATCTCTCTCATGCTTCTTGTTCTTTTCATTTGTGGCCTTGGCCTCTTCCCCAGCAGCATCTTCTTCCTTTTCTTTTCTTTACGGAAAGTCTTAAGAGAGCTAAGAAAGGAAGGAAGGGAGAGAAGCGACCAAGAAGTAGAGATCGGGCAGATAAAAGAAGAGCCAGAAACCCAGGAATAAATCTCAGCCTTTCATTTTTCATTTTTTATGGTTTAATGTTGTATGAGTCCCTCAAACTTTTCTTTAAAAAAAAAAAATCAGTGCGATCCATAAACTTTCTTTTCACTAAACGTTGCCCTCAAATTGAAAAAAAGGGGTAAACTACACGAGTGGCCGCCTAACTGTTGTCTCATTTCATTTTCACCACTAATGTTTTGATTTAATCAATCTTATCACCTAATTATTTGAATGCTTCAATCAGGGTACTAACCGTTAACATTTAATGAAGATGATAACGTGAAAGATAAAAAATTGACATAATTTTACATTTGTTCCTTGATATTTAAACATTTTATCAATTTAATGTTCATTTTAATTCAATTAAATTTTTTAATATACATTAGATAGATTAAAATATATTTTATTAATTATAATTAATTTATTTTTCCCCCAATCAAGAGGTGACCCGTGTCATCACAATGAGAAAATAAATTGAAGATGGAGCAGCCATGGCAATCCGTTTACATAACTCGTTTATATTTGGTCCTTGGGATATAAATGGCATACTTTATCCACCATCCCAAAGTTTATATTTAGTAAATCCGTTTAATATTTCGTATATCCGTTTAATATTTCGTATATCCTTAATTTTATATAATCACATACATATTAGACACTTTAGTTTACAAAACTTCCCTAGTATTCTTGGTAGGTTAAGAAATATGTAAGCATAATAATTTTAACACCATTTATTTAACATTTATATAAAGCATAATATTTTTAACACCATTTATTTAACATTTATATAATTTATAATTTTATATTTTTAAGATTTAGAATTTAGATCTTTAGACATTTATTATATATTTTTAACATCCTTGGTATACTCAATTTTATATATTTTTCCTCATTATTTATTTGTTTAATATTTTTAAAGACACTTATTAGTCTTTTTTAACATCGTTTTTGGAATAAAAGAAGATTATGTTACATTTGGTCTTTGGATTTTTAATTAAATATATACTATGATAATTGTAAAAAAATTATTTCAGTACATGTATTATTCATTGGATTTATTGAATATTAACAAAAAATAAGTATATATAACATGTTAACAAAAAAAAATTAAAGATATACATAAAATATTAACAAAAATACTAAGGATATATAAATAATACTGTATAGTATTACTAACCATATGTTTTGGCTTGGTGAGTATAATGCACTATTTCTACCCTAGGCCCCAAGTTCAATTCACTCTATTGAAGCCATTTTTTCTACCTTCAATAATCGGTAATAACACATGTCACCTCTTGATTGAGTGAGAAATAAATAAATTATAATTAATAAAATAATCTTTAATTATATGGTGAGTGATGATGACACGTATCATCCTTTGATTAGGTGAGAAAATAATTGTCACCTCACCATCTCCATTAAATGTTAGCGGCTAATAGCCTCATTGAAGCCAAAAAAACCCCAAAGTTGTCTGAATGATATTGACGTGCCGTGGCATTCCATAGTGGATGATGACATGTCATAGAGCTAAATTAATATTTTTGGTCGAATTTGAATGTCTAATAGATTTTTTGGAAATGTCAAGGGATTATTTATTTTTTATGAAAATAAAAATATTTTAAATATAAAAAACATTCAACTATTATAAAAGTTAAATATAGCAGAAAATCCATATTAGGAGATTCACCCACCAAAACCTAGTGTGCGACGATAGTTGGTTCGAATTAATTAAGGTGAAGCCTTGGAATCAGGAGGGTAAAAATATATATATAAAAGATACTAAAAATAAAAATTAAATTTCTAAAAAACGAAAATACTATTAAAACGTAATATATATATATATATCACAAACTATAAAATGATAAATTATTAAAATTATTTAAAAGAACATATATTATAAGTAATAAATAAATGTAACATATAGACACAAAAGTAACTTAGGATCTATTTATTTCATTGGATATAATTTCAGGAAAATAAAATACATTTATGAAAAATAGTTTCCAGAAAACATTTTTCATTATTTGGATGTTGCATTGTAAATTTTTTATCCTTGTTTAGTTAATTTTTCTAAAAACAATCTTCGGAATATGTTTTCGGTAAACAAACATATATATTTCATGATTATTCTTCATTTTTAATCTTTTTGTTTCATTAAGTTAATTTTATTATTATTGTCGACACTTGTTTTAGTCCGGAGACTCATTTTATTTTTATTATTATTATTATTATTATTAAATAATTACATTTTATTTACAGGCTACAAAGCTCAACAGGCCCAACAGACATGGCCCCAAATTACATCACTAGGCCCGAATCAAGCCCAACAACCCGAAGCCCAACTGCAGGCCCGTATGGATAACCCAACAACTAGGGTTTCCTCTTGTTGACCTAGCGCCACATAATTCTCCATCGTCAAATCTAAGAGTAATCTGACGGTCCAGATCGTTCACTATTTAGGGTTTTAACCCTAAACAAAGATCCAACTACAGCCGTCAGTGAATGTGAACCGTCTGATCTGTCGCGTGTGAGAGGTACGCGCTTATCCTTTAGCATCCCCGCAGAGTGATCCACCCCTGAAAAACTCCCACGCTGCTGTCGTCATCAATCCGTACCAAACAGTGACAAAAAAACAACTCTGTTAGTCATATATCTAACCCAAATCCTAAACCCATATTAAAAATAAAATAAATCTCGAAAACCAGGATTTCACCCACCAAAATTAGAGAAATCATTCATACTCTCCGCTACCATCAAATCGATCCCAAATCAACACACAAGGGATGAAGAAAAAAAGCAGAAAGAAAATATGATAAGTAGGAGGAGTTGGTCTGAAAAACAAAACAGGAGAGAGGGAACATACCAAAGAAAAAAAATCAAAGAGCTCATTTCGAAAATAAAAAGGAAAGAAAGAAAGAGGAAGAGAGAAGAAGGGGCTTACCATCGCTGGTTTCACCGAAGGGTCCAAACGTCACCGGAAAGTGGTGCATTTTCGACGGTAACCGCTTCGAATCCCTTAGATCTAGGACAAGGGAAGAGGATTTAGGTCAAGGGGTAGTCAAATTTGGGTTAAGGGAAGGCTGAGCGTCATTTTGGGGAGTTTTTTGGATCTTCGATCGCCGTAGGTGGCGACAGATGACTCCGACGAGCGGTGGCCGGAAGCTGCCGGCCTCCCCCCAGCGAGGAAAGGTAGAGAGAGGCCAGAAAGTTTTATTTCTCTCATCTCTAAGAGAGAGAGAGAGAGTGAACTGAGGAAATGAGATATATGGGCCATTTTAGGCTGGTTTTCGGGGTTATATACCCCTTTCGGTGCGACGTCATTTTGGGGAGGGAGTTCCGTGTTTTGGATGCGTGGGAATACCATTTCTGCAGCCTTACACTTTGTAATTCATTCATTTTAGCCACTATATGTAAGTTTTAATTGTTATGATATGAACTCCAAGTTTATCCATGTTTATATTTTAGTCCTCATGCATGTTCTGATGAATTTTGGTTTATTTTCTAACAGGTCCCTATACTTCATGCGTATTTCCATTTCGGTCACTAGTCCCCTATTTATTTTATTTCTTTAATTTTGAGCTATAATTTGTGTTTGTTTTAATTTAGTCACTATTACTATTCTGGTTTATTCGAATTTAGTCACTATTTTTTTTATTCATTTTAGTCACTGTTTGGGTTATGTTTATTATTTTATTGTGATTTAAATACGATATCTTCAATTTATAGATTTTAGTCACTGATAAATTTATGATTTGGCTATTGTTTTTTTTATTTCATTTTAGTTTCATTTCACTTGTTATCTTATTTTTAGGAATATTTTCATTTGAATGCCTTACTTTAAATATTTTCATTTTGTCCTGAATGATTAAAATTTGGTTTATTTATGATTTGCAGTACTTAGATTGTGAAATTTTTGCAATGGTTGCCTTTATTTCTTGTTGGTTGTATATTTTAATCCCTAATGACACTATCTTTATTATTTTGATCCATCATTCATATATTTGTTAATAACTCGCTAGTTGTAATATTTTCAAATGTTATTTTACTCGAAGAATTTATAGAAACGCGCCTTAACTGACAAGGATTGTGTTTCCAATAATTGTTTGAACAAAATAATACCTTTTATATATTCGAATGAATTGGTTTTTTATATAATTAATAAATGTATTTTTGGGCAATATTATTTTGTATAGGGAATCCATGGAAATGCCCCCTTAGCTGACAAATAAGGTATTTTCGAGAATTGTTCTTGCAAATAATACCCCTTTTATTTTTCTAATAAGGATCATAATTTTAATGTTATTCAAATTTGCCAATTTCAATATTCATATGACGTATAATTGCTTAGGTACCGATTTCGGGTATTGTGGGGTGCTAATCCTTCCCCACACATAATCGACTACCGAACCTTTTTCAAAATGAATTTCTGGTTAAACGCATATCATTGTTTTTATATATTTTAAAATATTTTTCTTAAAATTATTTTAAAAGGTATTTTTTAGGTATTCGACCTACCTAACTTAAAGGTCGACGATGACTCCAAATTTACTTATTTTTACGTTTATTTTAAAACCCGACCTTTTCCAAGATTAAGTTGGATCGCTCCCTGCCAAAGTCCTAAAAAGCTTTAGGATTTCGTTCCGACAACTTGGCGACTCTACTGGGGATGTTAGATAGTCAGGCCATAATCGATTATACGTCATCTTTTTAGTCAAAAATGGTAAATTCGAATGATATTTAAATTTTGATACCCATGTTTTGGTTACATCACATCATATATCTTTTATTTATTTATTAGTTGTACTAATGTGATTGGTTTACGTGTTTTAGATTTTTGACCTTTTTTAGTTTGATTGTTCTTGGATTGAGGCAAAGGATTGTGAGTTTCCTCCACTCGCACTATAACTGTTCAATATTTAGAGCCTTCTAACTGTGCT